AAATCCTAAACATGTTTTATTTACAAGCAATGTCCATTATTTTAATTATCAAAGGCATAGGCATCTGGCCTTGATTCCTATATTCACAAAATGACAATAAATAAGTGACAAATCATTTAATTACAATGCATAAAATCTAGTCTTGGAAATATTTGAAAGGATTGGTACACCTTAAACTATTTTAATATAAAGATACTACTTTGAAAGTAAACTAATCGGGGAGATGACAGGCAGATGAAAAATAAGTAATGTCACTCATTGGTATCTTAATGATGCCTTCAGAAATTTCTAAAATCTCAAAGATGTATTACCACTAAATAGAGTTTAGAGATTTTAGGAACTTCAAAACACAACCATTATTACTAATAATTTACCTTCCATTGCAGGCAATTTTTTTTTACTATTTTTAGTTGGTTAACCCTCTCTATAGCCTGTTCAAAACAGCTAAAAGAAAGATACTATTCAGGTGAAGGTGACAATTAATAGTGCATATTAATGATAAGTGACAGCTGTGGCAAAAATGATACCTAATTCTTAACACCACCCCATTCCATTTTATGTGATTGGAGGTAATTATTAAGTACTTAATAGGATTAGATTTCTAAATAAATTAATAATTGACATATTTTAAAAAGGAAATCAGGCCACTTGTGCTGCTATTTTGAATTGTTTAATCTTTAAAAGATTCCAAGAGCATAGTTAATTTGATTAATTTGAACAAATACTCAATTTGATTTGAACAATCTTTTAAGCAAAATAAAAAGAATTATTATAGCAATCATAATAGAATCTAAGGTGGCACTTTATATTTCTTCTAGTCCAACAATGATAGAAAGGCAATATACACACCTCTAAAATTATTTTGCAGTCCCAGTGTATTATTTACTCCAGAGTAAATCTCTTTTGGGATGTTAACCTTAATAAACATTTTAAACCTACTGGAATTCAAAAAGAAAAATGTTTAATATTGGCCTTTGGTTTATATTTCAGTCTTTCAATTTATGTTTCAAAAACTGTCATTCTTTCATTATAAATTCCCACCATATGTCCCAGAAGAGCAAAACAAACAAACAAAAAAGCAATGCTGCAGGAGTGTGTATATCCAGTTGTTAAATCAGTCCATTGTGGAGGATGTTTTGAAAAACCATGAGAACTACCGCTTGTTTTTGCTGCGGGAGGGGGGAGAATGGCAGAGAGCTGTTGCTTTTGTTGTGTCTGAGTAGTGGTGCACTTTTTAGTAACTCTGCAAACATCAGCATGAAAAGGATGTTCCTGTAGAGGCAATGAAGCATGAAATCCCACAATGCCTTTACACAGTAACGACAGCCACATGAAAGAGCGACATGCAACATGTCACTATATATAATTACACAGCCTGTGGCGTGGATGAAAAAGGAACTTAGGAAGGCTTTCTTTTCTAGACTAAGAGGGCACGCACCCGCACCCCTCAGCCATACGTTCCTCGTTTTGCATTCATTGCACCACGCGCGCTTTCCCCCCACGTTTTACTATTTTCGCAAAACGGCACTTCTCACCTTTAATCACCTGCACGCGCCACCGCGCCAGTTTTTTTTTTTTTTAATTCATCCACCCAAATTTCCTCTTAGGAACCGTTGCGGTGCCTGCTATCGCCTAAAGTTCTTCCCCATTAGCCATACGGGTTTCCACCCCCACCCCCGCCTTTAGCTCAATTCGCTCCTTCAAAAAAAAATTTTGTTTTCCAGCTCTTAAGCGTTGCTATTTTAAAAATTGTTTTAACTGCCTCACAACGCGCCCTATTTTCGATTTTAACTTTTTTTTTTTTGCCTGTCTTCAAGAACCTCAAGTTCACTTCATTCGGATATATCTTGGAATTGTTTCCTCAGACTTCCCCGCAGGGTTCCTCCCCGCCACGCGACCCCCGCGCAAACCGGGGATGGGATCTGATCTCTGTTCCATTTTTGAAACCTCTTGCCTGCGTTTCCGAGCGCAGCCCCACCCCGCGCAGTCCCAGAAGCCGCGGCAAAGTCTCTTTCCCCGCGCGCCCGCTGCCCGAAAGGCGCTGAGAAGCGGGGCGCCCGTTTCGCCTCGTTGTTCGGCCGTTCCCCCGGAGGAATTCGTCCGTTCACAGTTCTTTTGAGCAAATGGGAAACTCACTCTATGCAAATTCCTTCTGTTGGGTCCTCGTTTCCCGAAACCCTTTTCATTTCCTTTGATATATATGTATGTATGTATGTATGTATGTATGTATGTATGTATGTATGTAT